CTCGCTCTCCCACTCCCCCTGCTTGTGTTCCTGCTCTCGCTATCTCTCTCTCTGTCAAATAAATAAATAAAATCTTTAAAAAAAAAAAATTTTCCGGCCTCCCTTTCATCCTCCAGAGAGGAAAGAAGGGTTAAAAACATGGTTAATAATTGATCATGCTTACTTGGGGAAGCCACCCTAAAATCCCAATAGTACAGGATTCAGGGAGCTTCCAGGTTGGTGAACACATCCACACCAGGAGGGTGATGCTCCCCCCAACTCCACGGGAATAGAAGCTTCTGCACTGGGGACCCTCCTAGACCTTGCCCTATGTACCTCTTCATCTAGCTACTCATATGTGTCCTTTATCACATCCCTTAATTGGTAAACAGAAATAAGTGTTCCCCTGAGTTGTGTGAGCTGCTCTAGCAAATCAATTGAAACTGAATCCCCAATTTGTAGCCAAATTGGACAGAAGTTTTGGATAACCTGGGGACCTACTACTTGCATTTGTCACCTGAAGTGGAGGGCCACATTGTGGGGCTGAGCCTTCACCTGTGGACTCTGATGCTTTCTCTAGGCTGGTAGTGTCAGAATTGAGTTAAACTGTAGGTTGCCAAGCTGGTGTCACAAAGAATTTGTTGGTATGGGGAAAAGCCTCCACATACTTGATAACCAAAAATTTCTGAAGTGAAATGTGCTGTGAAAAGTGAAAGGTAAAAGAGACATGCAGGAAAGCAACACACAGATGGCAAAACCGAGTTCTTTCCTGTCACTACAATCTCTGACTCCACCTTGAAGGGGGCTCCCACACCCCCTTCCCCACCTAAATTAAGGTAAATAGAGATGGGACTAACCCCATTCTCCCACCCCACTCTACCTCAACAGAAATGCTTGTCCCACCTTTCTATAAGGCTCTGCTGCCTGCTAACTTTTCAGAGACCAGCCTCACACTCTGCAGACCAGACATTGCCCAGGGCCTGGCCTGGCCTTCAGAGATATTTATTGGACCACACACTGTATTTACATCTTTAATTTCCAAAACTTTAAAAACCAGGAGATTTTTACATTAGAAATATTAATTCCCAGCATATCTTGAAAAATCAGAAGCCGAGGCTACACTGCATTGACCTTTCTCGATGGCAGCTCCCTTCAAATGAGCCCTGTGTCCAGGTGGCCAAGCCTCCACCTTCTGGCTTCACTCCCATAATTTACTGTTTGGTCCATATAGGCATTTGATATTGTCACAGATGGAAACTTGTGCAGGATAAATATGGGCAGACGCCTTGTTTCCTCTTTGTGGAAGTCACAAACATAATGTCCAGATATAAGAATCATTTTCAAGAAAGCAAGAGCATAACTGGGTGTTATACGAAAACAATGAATCACTACATCACTACATCAAAACTACATCAAAACTACATCAAAACTAATCATCACTACATCAAAAACTAATGATGCATTGTATGGTGACTAACATAACATAATAAATTTTTTTAAAAAATTAAATTAAATTTTAAAAAAAAGAAAGCAAGAGCATAAAACATTTGTACGAAATTATGAATTATAATGACATTGCATTGAGAACTACTACTCTAAGCCTTTTCCTTTAGGCTCCTCACCTGTCTCCTTTCTCAGAACTGTGATTCAGTCTTCTGTATATTCATCAGGACTTTTACTCTTAAAAGATTTGTTTTAAAACACTTATATACTGACATACAAGTTTTTGGCCACAGCATTGTCATCCTCTGCATTTAATTCAAAATGGTATGGAAAGTACATCACAAGGAAATTTTGAACCTTAAGAAAATGCATATTTCAGCACATGTTTTCAATTATACTGGAATGACTTTGAAGCTATGGAGACCCAGCTTGGCATAGTGAAGAGCTGGCCGGGTGACATCCCCACAGCTTTCCTCATGTGATACACACGAGCCTTCCAAACAGGGCCTTCTGAGGTCAGCTTCCAACTGTCATCTGGCCCAACCCGGACCTTTGACGAAAAGAGGAAAATATGTATTATCCACCCCTCAAGCTCATACACCAGTGAGTAAATCAGGACACAAGTTTCCAACATTTCATTCGTCCTGAACACTGCATCTCAGAGGCACCAGCCTACCTCCCCACTGTCTTCCAAGTTCCATTCTCCATTCAAAACAGAAATGCCAATTAGGGTAAAACTTTGTTTTTCCCCATGTGTTGGCTTGGAAAATGGTTTGCTCTGAATATCCACCTAGGTTGAGTGAGTCTTTCATGAGTCAAAATTGGCACAGTATTATTTTCTGGCCAAATGTCATATTTCTTTGACCGTATTATAGGCAGGAGGATTCTGGGGGTCCACTAGGCTTCAGGGATACTTGATTAGTCCAGTAGGAGTCAAATTCACATGGACCAGGTAGATTCCAAAGAGTCATTCCTTTCAATGAATGGACTCCCAAACATTCCTTAAGAGGCTGGCAGTTCTGCAGAAGTGCTCATGCGCTGCTTCAAGAGGAAAAACCAAGAGTGAAGGCTCAGCTGCCAACCCCGCTTTCAACTAGGGCACTTCTGTTTCATCTGTCTTAGTATTAGCTTTTTTTAGAGTAATGTTTTGGGCGCCTGGGTGGCTCAGTTGGTTAAGCGACTGCCTTCGGCTCAGGTCATGATCCTGGAGTCCCGGGATCAAGTCCCGCATCGGGCTCCCTGCTCAGCAAGGGGTCTGCTTCTCCCTCTGCCCTCTTCCCTCTCGTGCTCTCTGCCTCTCATTCTCCCTCTCTCAAATAAATAAATAAAATCTTTAAAAAAAAAATAGAGTAATGTTTCACTTAAAGAAAAACCTGATGGGTAAAAAGTTTAAAAACCACTGCTTGGGGACAGATAACAACCAGGCAACCTAAATACCACCTTGCCCCCCCCAAAAAAGAAAAAATACACAGGGTTTGGTTTTGTTTTAGTAAGTTGCACACATGCTGTAATATAACTATCCCTCACTATCCAGAGCTATTTGCTTCCTGAACTTACTAACAGGAATCCAGACAGACACATAGACTGCTTTGGTTGAGTGACTGCTACGAGGCTCACATTGGCAAGTTTGCAGTGAATCTTTGTTTAATGGTATAATTTTGAGCTTTTCATGTTTTAATCACTAAACCTTAACCATGAAGCTTAAGAAGGATTACTGACATCAGAAAAAGGATGTGACCAGACTCCACACATTCTACTCATGTTCAAGTCATGTCTAATTCTCAAACCCCCTCAAATTATCATTCTAAAAAAGAAAATGTTAACAATGTTCACACACATTTGGATTTCTGGTCATGTCTGTAGCCCACAATTAAAAACACAGAAACACTTGGTTACCCCTGAGTTGAGAAATTGGCTTACCTGTTTTAACTATAAATCCTCCTATAAGCTGACCCAGTAAGTCATTCTCAACCGCTAGCACCATAGATAAGGTGGCTCAGCAAAAAGCTGAGCTCAGGTCCTCAGGGAATGGGACATTTCAGGGCAATGGGTCTCCACTGTAAGCCTATATCCATGTTTCCCAAGACTAAAACTAGAATTCACTATCAAACAAATTCAACTAAGCTTTGGGGAACATTTACACTGAATCTTCAAAATCAGGACTGTCTTGCAATGTCTTGATTATACACTTGCCAAAAGCCCTGAGTTCCTGTGGGAAGTGTGGAAGCTAGAAGAAAAACAAACGTGGGAGCTGGGCAGGCACACACTTGACCTGCTTCGGCATTTGTTCATATGAGCCCTGAGCTTCACAACTATTTCTCACAGGTGGTGAAACCAAAGCCCAAGGGGTTACTGGACAGGTGTTGGCTAAGTTGGAAGAATACCCTGGGTTGCTCAGGAACACAGGCAGGAACTTGTGTTTGGAGCCAATTCCTAAAACTATTCCACAACTCCAAAAACTCTATGTGGTTTTTCTTCGGAAAGAAGAGCAATATTTCTCACTTTGTTTTCCTTTTTTGCCAAACATAGGTTTCTTTTGAACATCTGCAATCCGATCCAACCCCACTTAATTCTATAAATATTTTCAGATAAACTTTAACAGACATTCCCCATACACCAAGACAAAGCAATAACCTGCATGTGAAGTGGATTGAGAGGTGGAGCTAATACATAAGAGCTCAGGAGAAACTGAGACTCAGAGGGTGACCACTGCCAGGGTGACAGTGGCAGGAAGCAAAGGTCGTGGGCAAAGGAAAGCTCCTTCCCAACCCTCCACCAATCACCAATTTCAACTTATGTTTAGGTTGTTCATGTTTTCATTATCATAAAAGATGAGTGAGAAAAGATTACATCCTTGATGCCTGTTAAATTCACCCTCAATGATCAATTTCTCCAACCAGGAGTGGACACAAACATCCCAACACCCACTACTGGGACTGCAAGGTAGATGTCTGCATAGTCATGTAGTGTGACTTTCTTAAGTCATTACATAGAACTATCAAAACTTTGGCACTAAGGAAACTAAGATTGGGGAAAATCCAAGGGAAAAAAAGTACCAAAATGTAAAAATTTCATTTTTTCCTTCATTTTCCCATTTTATGAAATGACTTATTTTCTTTCTTCTTGTCTTTCACTTAGTGATCATTTATTTAATCACCATGTCCCTTCTTGGGGAGGCCAGAAAACTTTAGACTCTAGCATGAGGGTGGGAGTTGACATATAATTTCCAGACATCCATGCTAGACCCAAAAGAGCTGCCAAGATGTCTAATTGCCCCATAAGTCACATTTATGAAGTCCAGAATCCTTATTTCCCATATCCAGAAAATGAATTTTGTCAAGAAAGTCTTTCCAATACCATCATTAAGTTCCTTCTCCAGTTTAGCCAAACACTAGACTCACAACAGGAAGGGCTGAGTCTCAGGGGCTGGCGGTAAAAAGAAGCTGAAAATTGGTAGAGAGCAAGCGGGTCCCCTTCTCATCGGCCCCAGGCTCTCAGGCACACAGTCATTGGGTCACAAAGGGACACAGCTGAGTGTTGTTAGTGGTCAAAGGGAAAACAGAGCAGAGGACATGAAATTAAAGAAACCAAAGTATTATCACTTTATTTTATCACATCAAACTTAGGGAAATATATTCTCTTTCCTGATTTTGTTAAATGAAGTGTTTCTGTAGCTAGTGGTGCATTTGCTTTCATCATTTCCTTTTTCCTATTGGTATTCTCTGGATTAATGTAGTGTAGACCTGTGCCATGGAGCCAAGTAAGCATGTTTACTGGTTGTCAGGAAAGGTTAAAAATTAGTTCATGTCTTCATAAATATTAGTATCCTACTTTTTTAAATATGAAAGGTAGAGAAAGAGAAAGGCACATCAGGGGCTTCTCCTAGTTCCAGAAGAAAAATCGGGGAAATAAGGATGAGGATGAGGATGTGGACAGCTGGGGACAGGGACAAGCTCTGGGGCTTGTTGTTCTCTGTGCATCACCCAGCCAGTGGCCAGCAGCCGACTGCTCCCTCAGTGGGATCCTCAAGCTGCCCGGGGAAGGCCAGTGCATTTCATCCAGAGTAACATCTTCTTGCAGGAAGTGCAAACAGACAAGCAATGATTGCTTCCCCTTTCAAAGTATGGACAAAGAAAATTACACAGTGGAGATGAAGACTTGGCAAATGAAAGCCAGATTTCTGCATCTTTTGCTAAGACTTTTTAAAAGATGATATGATTTCAGTGTTATACATTAATGAGCACTTGGCTATCAGTATTATTTCCATTCTTATAATTTAACACTAGATCCAAGCCTGTGAGCCTCGGATCCCAGTGGGGTTATGGAGTTATTACCTTCAGGCAGGAAACCCTCTCGTCTATAGACTAAATAATAAATAAATAGATTGATATATGCACCACTTTTTCAAGTGTTTCTAAACACTTTATAAATAATAAAATACAAGTTTATGGAAGCATTATTAAATTCAGGTCACCTTTTATATTTATATATTTGTCAATGATTTGACATAAAAAATATAACTATCATATAGCAGATTCACTGAGGGAGTCTTGTCTGTATTTTCTTTCAACTTCATTCCGATACTGAGTTTCCATCCCTCTGGACAAGCAGGAAATTCAAGCTGGTTTTCTCCAGGTTCCACTCACCCACATGTGAAGCTAGTGTTACACTATCAATTCTCATCCATTCTGCCCATTTTGGCAAGTATAGAAATCTTCAGTGAGCCTGGGTGTCAGCAACTTGGGACCCAGTTCCATTGGATGCAACTCGCAGCTTCCGAGGGCTGGCACCTGTCAGGACCATGACGGAGACTCCTCCTCCTCAACTCTAGGCTTCAAATAAGAAGGAAGTAAAATATATAAGGGAACAAACTCAGTATTTCTAGCAATTATCCTACTATCATCTTGTATCAATCAGGGTCTAGTTAGGAGACAGAAACCACACAACAATTTTAACAAGGAGACCTTAATATATTATACGAAAACAATGAATCATAGAACACTACATCAAAAACTAATGATGTACTGTATGGTGACTAACATAACATAATAAAAATAAAATTTAAAAAATTAAAAAAAATCTAAAAAAAAAGAATTATTAACCATAACCGGGGGTTGACTATCAAGGGATAAAGAGAACTCTAAAGAATATCCAAGAGATGAAGGAGAACGCCTAATGAAAGAACAAACTTGGAAAGGAGAACTCTCCCAGCTTCCAAGGCTGGGATTCAGATCTCACTGAAAAGGTGTGGTTGATGCCTACTGGGGGGTGGGGAAATTCTCTGGGCTGACCTGAGCCAGAGCTGGTCCACGGTGGCTGGGCAAATGTTGGAAGGCAGAGTGATGTGGGCTGGGACTGGCCAGCAGGAAACACCCCACCAGGGTGTAGGAGGCTCAAGGCTGAGAAGCCAACATCTAGGGTGCCTATGAGACTCACTGAGAATCTACTGGTACAGATGCTACTGAAACTCAGTGAAGAGGGGTACCACTAGATGTCCACCCCTTGTGCCACTGACTACCACAGTAGGACTTAAAAAAAAAAAAAACAAAAAGCAAAACACAGAATCACACCAGTATAGGAAGTGATGCCCATCCTCCTTTACTTGCTGAAGCGCCCTGCCCCAGCTACATTTGGGCTCTCATGGTGCCCAAATTGTTCTGAGGCAAAATGAAGCAGGATGCCTCATCACCCACTGGAGTTCATGTGGGCAAGATTACTTGAGAGATTCCATGGTTCTCCATTCCTTAAGAGATCATTAGTAAAGCAGCTTCTAGAACCCAGACATTTAACCAAGGAGACAAATCACAGGATGCATGGTGAAACCTGGAAATGCTTCTCCCCTCCCATGATGGAAAAAGTTTCTAGGCTTGCCTGCCCCTTCTGCAGACTCAGGCAGATGCACTTGCCCCAGCTTCTCCCATCGTCAGTTTGCCAACATGCCCAACCTCCAACATGGTCATAGTTCTATCCCAGGAGGCTCCTCATCAGCAGAGGTTCCATGAAGGGGCTGAAAGGAGTGGCCTTCCTTCCCCTACCCCACCCCACCGTGGTCACCAGCAGCCCTCTTCCACATTCTTCAATGAATAAAGGAAAGATCATCTCCGTCTTGTATAAAGTACTGAGCAAATGCAGCTGTCAGTCACGTCCCCAGCCCTATGCCTTTCTAGCTTGATAGCCAACCTATAAACAAGTTCTACAGGCTCATCCTATAGAAAATTCTGGCATCTTTGCCTCCAAGAATTCCCACCCTCACCCCCACCAGAGAGGCTTCAGTTGGGTCCGTCCAGCCCTGGTGATAGATTTGGAGGGACACATCTCAGTCCTTACAGATTCGAACTAGGACCCTCCAGCACCCACAGCCGGATGTCTCGCCAATGACTGGCCAATTTCTGAGCAAGCGGGAGGCAGGAAAACAGCAGCCTCCCAAACTCGCTCCTCCCCTCGCTCTTTCCAAGGTGAGCTTTCTAATGAGAAGAATTTTATGATCATAAAGAACTGGAAAACAATGAATATTTAAAGGACTTTAGAATTTTAAAAGAGTTGGTCATATCCAAATTTCCATTTGGCATGTTCAGAGATGTACCTTCTTTGCAGAGTGAGAGGAATTTGGGGAAAAAAAGTAGTCTGGCTTTGATCCCAAATGAGGACCTGATTTTTTTGGAGAGGTTTTTGGTTGGTTTGTTCATTTTTTTTTAGGGAGTGGGTTTTTTGGTTGGTTGGCATTTTAAATCATGGACACTAGTTTAAAGACAACTTCGCCCACAGGTGTGACTTAAAAATACAAACTCAGTGACTCAGAATTCAGAGACCAGAAAGGAACAGGAAACATCCAGCCATCATTCAGTGTTCTCACATACACGTTAAGGGATCATTTTCCCTTGAAGTAATGAAAGAAAGAAAGAAAGAAAGAAAGAAAGAAAGAAAGAAAGAAAGAGAAAGAAAGAAAGAAAGAAAGAAAGAAGAAAGAAAGAAAGAAAGAAAGAAAGAAAGAAAGAAAGAAAGAAAGAAAGAAAGAAAGAAAGAAGAGAAAAAAGGGGAGGGAGGAATAAGAGAAAGGAAGGAAGGAAGAAGGAAGGAAATAAAGAAAAAATTGGTTCTTGAAGTTTCTTTCTGGACAGGGATAGAAAGACTTCCTAAAACATTACTAAAATATATGTGTGTGTGTGTTCCAAAAGCATAAATTTAGAAGTTAGAGGAAGATTAAGAGTTTAGCAATTTGCTGTTTTAAAATTTTAGCCCTATAGAGATCACTCCTTAAGAAGAAAGAAATATAATGTAATGAGAACTGGGTGTTATATGCAACTAATGAATCGTTGAACATTACATCCAAAACTAATGATGTACTGTATGTTGGTTAATTAAATTAAAATTAAAAAAAGGAAAAGAAAGAAATATATAGAAAGAAATGGGAAATTGGGTGCAAATTTGGAATATACAGTTGGGTGGTATGGCCAGACATTAAGGTAAAGGTAGAGCTTTTTCTAAACACAGAGGAAAAGCTTAGCATTGTAGAATTATAGTCAGCAAAGAAATAAGAGCACAGCTGTTAACATTCAGATTTGAAACATATGACTGCTTTGGGACTTATTTTTTATTGGACTTGGCAAATTGCTAAAACCAGGACAAATAGCCATTCTCCTTGGCAATGACTTCTTCTGTTCTTAGAATGTCCCGCTGTGAGAGTGGTGCTGAGCAGCCACTTCTGACCCTAGAGAAGCCTCAACAAAGCACTCAGCTTCTGGAAGTGGGGAACAGCTTCACTGGCCCCAAGGACAGTACAGTGGATCAAGCATCTAACTAGGAAATCAAGCTTCTTTGTCCAAATTCTTCTACTGATGCTGAGTAAAATGGGGAAATAACAGTACCTACCTCCTAGGTTGTCATGAGAATTAAGTGGGTTGACAGGTGTACAACACACAGCTCTGTGCCTGGCACAAAGTAGGCACTTACTTGATGTTCATTCTTCCCTTACTTCACGTGGCTGGACACTCTACTTTAAAACTCTGCAAAATCATTCTCAGCATCTTCCAACACTTCTACAAATATGTACAATTCCAGCAACTGGAGGCTACAAAATCCCATCATTCTGCAACGTTACATATCCCCTATGAAAGTGAGAAATTTGTCATAAACACCTTTAAGCAGTTTAGACGTACACATATCTCTAAACAAATCACCCAGAAGAAACATAACCAACTGTCAAATAAGTTTTTCCTAAACTTCATCATGTCGATCTCAAACATGCAAAGGAGAGGCCCTTTTTTTCTCAAAGAAAACACCTTTTTTAAAACAAGACCTCATCTAAAGTCTCCTATTTTAATTCCTAATAGAGAAAAGAAAGACAGTAAACTCTTCTTTAAGGTCATTCAATAAAACAAGGGAAGGCATCCGAAGGACCCACAGTGACACGTTCTTTGCCTCTTGCACAAATGTCTTCTACCTCTTTGGCCAGGGAAATCATCTCTCCCGCGGACCATAAACCTGCTTTGAGAGAATGCAAAGGAAAGAAAACAACCCACATATAGGTTGGAACAAAACGTGTAACATAGAAATGCATGTATTTCTCACATTGTTGCACAAAAAGCACCGTTGTGTGTAGATGGGAGGTTTTTCCTCACTTCACTTCCTCCCCTAAACAGATTAGGGGTACAGTATTTCCATTCAAGGTCCACAGAGTCATTGGTCATCAGATTGTCAAATCCTTCACTAGCCTGCTGTGAGGAGTTTTCTATTACACAGTGGGGACATCCTGTAGACAGACGACGGAGCGCCAGGAGGAGCATGGTGCGGACAAGGAAATGCCTTCACCAAGTCACTGCTCCTTGGACCCTCTTCCTCCTGCCGCTCTTCAAACGGTCCTTAATCTCTCTCCCCCTGGTGAACACTCATCTTAATTAACTAATCTAAAATATGGGGAAATGTGTGTGCTTACTTCCGGCGTTTACAGAATTTTACGATAGAAAAAAAGAAACAACCTACACACACAAAAGTTGAAGAATGTTTACGTTATGGCATGCCAATAGACTATGATGAAAACATTTTAAATGGTGGTGATAAAAACTATGGACAGTCTGGATACACAGGCAAATCAACAGAGAATAATTTATTGATGTTACAAGACACACATGTGAAATGGCATCGCATGTTGTAGTCAGTGTCGCTTCTCTTAAAGTGATGCACAGGTACATTGCAACGGACACAGTGCATTAGGGCAGCAGTTCCTTCTGCCCCCCATGCCTGCATCAGTGATGCCTTGCCGCAGGTGATCTGTGTCTCTGATTTTCATTGACTAAAACTGTAATTCAGATCTAGCAAGCATGTGGCCCTCTCCTGTTGGCCACATCATCCACTCTGGTTTGGGAAATTTATCATCCAACCACTTGGGTGTAATGGGATGACACATTCTTCTGCTGGAACCACTCAGTGACCTTCCCCAACCTTCAAATGCATGCATCATTATCGACCACTTAAAAGTGGTCAAATATGTCAGAAAGTTGCCTGTGTTAGCAGACTTTATGAGACCCCTGTCTATAGACCCAAGTGTTCTGACATATCTGGGTATGGCCTGAGCCCTCTTTCCAGTGTCTCTTTGCTTTAAGGATCAAAAGCCCCCTTCAAGAAGAAAGAAATGGATGTTTAGAAGCTTGGACCAAGAAAAAGTCTTTTAGGTTAAAGGGAGGCATAATTATTAGTACCTGTCTCTCTGTTCCCCAGAGGTCTTCCCAAGAGCAGACTTTGCTGAGCCCTAGAGAGACCAGAGCTATGAATAAAACTGACCAAGTTTTTCTCCTGGGAGGATATTGCGACCCAGCCATGCTGTCTTAAGATCATGTAGCAAGGGGCACCTGGGTGGCTCAGTCGGTTAAGCTTCTGCCTTTGGCTCAGTCATGGTCTCAGGGTCCTGGGATCGAGCCTTGCATCGGGGTCCCTGCTGAGTGGGGGGGCCTGCTTCTTCCTCTCCCTCTGCCTCTGCTTGCCATTCCCACTGCTTGTACTCTCTCTCTCTGTCAAATAAAAACTAAAATAAATAAATAAATAAAAAGATCATGTAGCAAGACCCATCGCCCCCAGAGCTATGGGCTCCGAATATCCTGAAGTCATGAAAACTTAAAAACACAAAGACCATTTGACTGGCAGAACCTTAGGAGAATCAAATAAGAGTGTCAAGAAATATTTGAGATTCTCCTACATAATCTATGAACTCCAAAATTACAACTTCCTATCCCTTCTTACTATTCCATCCTCAGCTCAATGTACACTGTGGCCCCAGTATGACTGGGTGCTGAAAGGGAATGGACTGAATCTTACAGACCACATGACCATATAATTGATCAACAAAACCAATAAATTTCTGAGGTTGTAAAGGAGCATTATCAGAATTATGCCAGGACAGCAGGTGTCAGCCAGGATGGTCCCAGGCAAACTGGCATCTGATCACCCTATGAGTCTGCGAGTTCTAGGGGAGAACATTTGTGTCTCTAACTTTACCCTTTTGTTCTGATCAACTTTTCATCCCATCAGATGTTCTTGATCTTTTAGATACATCTTTGGCCACTCAAAGCAAAAATCTAGGCTTTTCCATACATTTTGATGAACCCTGCCAAAACTAGAAAATCCTAAATAATAATCCTATATATGTTTATCCTGGACCTTTCCCACAGGCACCCTTACTTCACAGAGATTCAGAGAGACATGTTTCCTAATAAAAAGGATGCAAGTGGTTAGCTATTCAAAACAATCTTACCTTAGAGAGTTGCCTCTTGTTCATCCAAAGGGAAAAAACAAACAAACAAACACAAAAAAACAGTTAATAAATGCCAGGCACACTTCTAGGTATTGGGTGACACAACTTTTAAAAACACAGGACCATCACCCAGCTCAAGAGATCTCATATGCAGTAAGGGAAGCAGCTGATGAGTAAGTAAGCAAATAGATCATTGTGGGATTACCTGATGGTATGACCCCAGCGGGAGAGTCTACTGCAGTAAGAGAGGTCCAGGAAGACACCTCTGAGAAGTGACATTTGATCTGACTTCAGGACGGACACTGGCCAGTGTGACAAGCCCCTTTCACAGATCACATCAATTTCGTTTCCAGCCCTACACCAACTTTTCCTGTTTCCTCCCAGTTTGTGAAGATCAGGGACCCTTCTACGGTTTCCTCACGAAATAGAATGATACAGATGAAAAGCAAAAGGGGTTTCCACTGCACACTCGAGAAATCATGGGAAATAGAATTATCGCCATCAGTCAGTATAAGGCGGCCACAGGGTGCCTGAATGACCCGCTCCTGAGTGTGGTGTTAATCGTCGACAAGGTTCTGTGGTCCTCTAGCAGTCCTGGGTGTGGGGATCAGTGGAGACTGCACCTGAAGTCCTGAGGACAGGCAGCTCTCACTGGGCTTAGCTGACCACAGTATTTTCTCAGCGCAACTTTGAGCTCATGTTTATGCCAAAGTCGGCCTGAAAGGCAGCTGTCTGAACCCATCATGTTCCCAGCATCATTCCTAGCCACTGGTGGCCGCTGGTCCCACTGACCGATCGGTTCTTGTGGTTAGATTACTCCTGCGTTTCAGTGTCTACTCCCCTTCCTAGCAGTGTCACACTGCGATCTCTGATCCTGCTGTCCTTGACTAATCAGACTAACGAAGCCTCTCTCTTCCAAACATGAGCCACAACTCACTGTCAGCATCAAGCTAGTCAGGGTGTTTTCTCTATCCTTCTTGCTTTCCAAACTCCAGGTCAGGATCCCTGCACTCCCCTCCATATTCTGCAACATGTGATTTTTGGAAATGTAACCCAAAAAAAGTCTGAATAGAGCCCAGCAAGAGCCAAAGGAAATGGAATAATGAACTATTCAGTCTAGGTCTGTTATGTGCCCAAATGTGGTTTTGCCTTCTACAGTATTTAGATCATACTGTTGACTCATGTTCCATAAGAACAGACTCAATTTATCCATGTAGCCTCTTCTACTCCCCACTGACCTTCATACTCACCCTTCCTCCCTTTCCCTCTGGGAACCTTTTGCCCAAAGCCAGTTTTTATAATGGCACATTTGATTGGACTATTGTTCACAGTTAATTCACCCAATTGTTCTTTATTAACTCTCCTTTGATTGCTTTCAAATGTTTTCTTCTACTTGTCAAGATAAGTAAGACAGTTTTCGTTCCTCTGTTACATAGTAAAATGTTGTTATTTGCCATATCATTTGGATCCTCAATAGACCTTTTTTAGGTATTTGTACCACCGGACATCCTGGTAATGTCAGTAACGATAGCAAACTTGTAAATAGCACTTACTATATTCCAGGCACTGTTCTAAGGACTTTACATTCATTAACTCATCAAATCCCCTAAACTCTAACAAGTAGGTATTATTATAACACTTTACAGGGGCGCCTGGGTGGCTCAGTCGGTTAAGCATCTGTCTTCGGCTCAGGTCATGATCTCAGGATCCTAGGATCCAGCCCCGCATCAGTCTCCCTGCTCGTGCCGAGTCTGCCTCTCTCTCTGCCTCCTCCTCGCTGCTCATGCTCTGTCTCTGTCTCTGTCTCTGTCTCTCAAGTAAATAAATAAAATCTTTTAAAAAATAAAATAACACTTTACAGATGAAGAAACTGAATCACAGAGAAGTTAAGGAACTCAATGTCACACAACTAATAATGCAGAACCCATAGCATTTGCTCCTCGGCACTCAAATTTAACAGTAAAATGTCACAGTGTTTTTGTTCATGTTTAATTATCATCAAATTCCTATCTATCTCTTTTCTAAACCAGGAGAAAAAGATCAGACCGAAATAATCATGAACATCATCAAACTGGGACCAGTCATCCCCTTAGAACTGAGTGATTACATTGAATTGTTTGTACCTCTCGTCTCCCAAGAGGACAGGTAGTTCCTTTCTAGAGAAATGACTCAGATACATTAGCTTTTCCAGGCCACTGGGCTGTGATTGAACTCATCAACATTTAGGAGACTTTTTTTTTTTGGTCCAAGTTCTATAGCTTGGCACATCCAGCTTCCCACAATCTGTCTCCAGCTTCCCTCCTCCTATTCTCATCTCTTGCTCCTCCCCCACCATGTCCCCCCTCCGGTGGGCTCCTGCTCACACCTGTGTTCATGCCATTAGCCCAGAATGCTTGACCCATCCCCCCACCAATTTTTCTCTCACTTTTAGTTAATTGGTATTTTTCTCAAAATTATACATGTAATTAAAAAAAATAGTTCTATAAATCTTATAGTAAAGAAAGACAGTCATTCCCTGCCTCATTTTTCCCGTCCCCCAAGTCTTAACTACTTTCAACTCTTTTTTTTCCTTTTTTTTTAAAGATTTTATTTATTTTTCAACAGAGAGAGAGACAGCGAGAGAGGGAACACAAGCAGGGGGAGTGGGAGAGGGAGAAGTGGGCTTCCCGCGGAGCAGGGAGTCCGATGTGGGACTTGATCCCAGGACCCTGGGATCATGACCTCAGCTGAAGGCAGATGCTTAATGACTGAGCCACCCAGGCACCCTCCTTATTTTTTTTTTTAATGTATTTATTTGTCAGAGAGAGAAAGAGAGCACAAGCAGGGGGAGCGGCAGGCAGAGGGAGAAGCAGACTCCCCGCTGAGCAAGGAGCCTGATGTAGGACTCAATCCCAGGACCCTGGAATCATGACCTGAGCCGAAGACAGATGCTTAATCCAAGTGTCCCTACTTTCAACTCTTTTAACTGTGTCTTTTCTATATTTTTTAACAACATTTGTTAAATGGGTTAAGATTATGTTCATTTGCAAGTAATAGAAAACCTTTCTAGAGTGACTTAACCAAGCAAGGAGTTTATTTCATATAAAAAGAAGTCCACACAGACATTTTAAGGCAGGCATGAGTCTCAACAGGGTCTTCAGAAACCAGGCTCTTTCCACCTTTCTATTCCACCATCCTTGCTTATGGCATCCATCCACATCGTCACAAGATGGCGGTTCTTACCTCCAGGTATTGTGTCCACATTCCAGGAGAAAAAGAATAGGGAAGGACAAAGATATCTTTCCTAGTAAGACTTTGCCTTTTATTTGAAAAGGAATATCCTCTGCAAGAACCTCTGCCTGTGTCTTCTCTAGTCTTTTCAAAGTTATCTGTTGGGGGCAGGGGAGGAGGGGAGGGGGCAGGTTTTACTGCTTCTCAAAGTATTTATTTATCCAAATTCCTTTTTCTATTTGTCTTTGTCGTTTGTTTGTTATTAAGCTGTCTTTAATGTTGGAAACTTTCCCCTAAGTCTGATGATCTTCATCTGCTCATTCATATTTAAAGAGTAAATTTCAGATAAAGTGGTTGAAATTTCTGTGTGCATGGCAGGACTTGTGGACAAGGGGCTTCATGGCAAGGAAGTTGGGATGTAGTTTTCACTGGACACACACGGTTATTAGTATCAGAAGGCCTTTTCTCTTGGGCTGCTCAGTTTCCCCAGAAGAGAACTCTAATATTCTGCTTGGGGTATGTGAGCGTGGCTGCCAGCATCCTGAACAGGACTGGGGAAGGTGCTAGGGCATCTCACTATCCAGCAGCCTTAACTGCCTTAACTGCCCCAGGCCTTGTAGCCTCCAGCCTTAACTGTGCCTGGTGCCCCTGAGTCCAGAGCACGGGTAATCGGGATGTCCTCACGGAGTAACCATATGGCCTTTTGCTAGGGCAGAGGAGGAGTAGTTGCCTAATGGGATGGGATGGGGAGGAACCCTAACCACTTCTCCTGCAGACCTTCCACCTGTCCTCCCATCCCAGCTGCACCTGCATCTTCAGGGATTCCTGTAGCTCCAGATACTGAGCCGTTCTGGGGGCTGCGGCCCAGAGCAGGAGCCTCCTCCCCTCCTCCCTCCCTGCCTCCTTCTCTTC